AACGAGATAAGTTTTTTGAAGTACGTACATATGTAAATACATATACATACATATACATTTGTACTTGAAAAGATATTTGCATTATTTTTTGACGTTTAAACACACAAATAATCAACTTTGTTTAAATTGACTTTCTTTTATTTTATTATGGTGATGCGCCTGTCAACTATGAGTAGAAGCTAAAAATGCTAAAATATTGGTAGATAAGTGACTCAACCTGCAGAAGATGCAAAATTCTTTATAAATTTATTTTAACATAGATTTTCTTAACCTTTTAATTCCTGGTTGTTGGCAGCTGCGGTTGAAGATGAAATTTAAAAGCTCCTGTATAAGGAAGCACTGATAAGATACGCCGGTGTTAAGTCCGGAGAGGTTAAATCTACTAAAAAATCCAGGCTTTAGTTGTGCCTGTATAACCCGGCTTTTGCTGTAGATGATTTTTAGTTTCCATTGACGCCGTTATTTGGAAAGGTGTTGCTTACGATGTTAACCAGATTCAAACATCTAGAGGTTCCTGAATATCGTTCGTATAGTTTAAAGACGGAAGCAGCAAGATCTGAGGTTTTTTCGCTACTAAGAAGAAAAGGGATTTCGTTCCGACTATTTTGGTTTTTTGATTCAGTAGTAGACCACTCTACTCTTATTCCACATGTCGAGTATTGTAGGAGTGATGAGAGACAGATTGTGAGCCACTGAGACCAGATTTTTAAGAGCCAGCCTACTTATTCCATCGAGGCCGATAGATTCGGCGATTTTCGCCGTTCTGATATGTCATTAAACCTCTTTTTTTTTTTGTCAATACAGGTGTCGCACTGTTGTTTGGTTTGGTCGGTTCTGTCAACCGAAGCAAGCAGTATGAAAACTCGGCTGAAACAGCTTGCGAATTTCTTCGTATGCAAAGTGGAGAGAGGACATCGAATGAGATTTCCACCCATCCATCGCAATTTGTTTGCCTTGATAGTAATTTGACAATGACCCAAAGCTTGATTACACCAGAAATGCAGTTATAAGACTTTAAGTGTTCTTCCTAATCGCCGAAACGCTATATAAAGTTCATTGATTTGGCTATAAAGCTGAGAATGGCCCTGCCTTTTGGTAGAATCTTGTGTCGGTACAGTACTTGTATACGGGCACATATTCCTACAGCAGTAGTGTGCAGACCAGAGCCGTTCTGAGAGCATAAAATGCATTTGATGTATGTCGCATTTTGACATATAAAACAGATATTGTGGTATACTAGGAGCTAAAGAGTAGTCCTCCTCGGGAGGAATCCGGATATAGGGTGGACTTGCGTATTCGAGAGAAGTGGGTGTCATGTCAATTGTAGGTAATGGGCAATGGTGCAGAGTCAGAGACGCATAAGATATACAACGCTATTGGGGGGTTCAATCCTTACCGGTTTTAAAGCCTGAGTATGTCTTATAAAGACATCAACTATTCCACAAATGTATCTAAATGAACTAAACCAGGATTGGTTTGAACGCTAATCTGATAAAAAGAGCTTAGAACAACCATTGAGTTAATTGGCTGAAAAACGGCATACCTCGGCCGGCTGAAATCCTTGCTGAACTCCGAATCGTAGAAATGACTGTCAAAGTTATATTTTGTGGTTTCGAAAGCTACAAAACAAATTAAAAAAAAAATTGAACTAACAAAGCTGTGCTTGTGATAATAAATTAGATTTTCATATCAGAATCAGAGGGAAAAAGCCATCAAAATTCATACCGACCGAGCCAGAACGAAGAATTCAGATATTTCAACCAAACCTGGTTCGCATGCACTGATACATTTAAACGATTATTTTTTGTCAGAACCGGGTAGGTCGGACCCAATGTATATTTATAAAAATTGACACCGAAATTTATCGAAATCGGAACAATATTGTATATCTTCCATACAACTGATATGTTCAGAAATGACATTTTTAGTTCGAAAACATATCAAAAGAGCATCTAAAAGCATGAAACTCGGTATTATGCACACATATATACGAAGAAATACCGAAACCAATAATCATCGAAATCGGAGGACTTTATCTTATAGCTCCCTTACGACCGATTTGTTCAGAAATGAGATTTTTAGTTCGAAAACCCATTAAAAGAGCATCTAAAAGCATGAAATTCAGTATTCTGCACAAATATATACGAAGAAATACTGAAACCGAAAATCGTTGAAATCGGAGACCTTTGTCATATAGCTCCCATTCGACCGATTTGTTCAGATATGAGAATAAATATTTAATCCTTAAATGAAATACCGTAAATTTTGCTGTGCACATGAAGGGTGAATTTATAATAAATAAAATAATAAATTAATTAAATATTTAAATAAAAGCCAACAACAGCTAAGGCAGGTAAATAAGAGCTGATTATAAAGACATTGTCGCTCGAATACAAACTAAATACTACAATAGTAATGCCTTTCATCAACTTCACAGTGTAATTTACAATACACGTATGTACACGCAGTCATTAAGCTAATTAATATAACCGATTATTGCTTATCTGAAAATAATTAAAAATATTTTGTTTTACAAATAAATAAATGACAAATATACAATAATTTAACGATTTTACAGAAAGTTACAGTCAAAAATTTCCAACACAAACTAGACAATATATATACAAACACACATACATAAGCCCCATATGTATGTATGTATGTATTACAGAAATGTATGCATATTTATCCGTACATGCCCATGCATTTTTAGCTTTTTTTTCAGGCGCTATTAAATACAGTTAAGTAAATTAAGACACGACAGCATGTAAACAGGCGGAGAAAAACAAAAAAAAACAAACAAAAAAAAATAAAAAAAATAAAAAATAAAAAAAAAAAAAACAAAAACGATTAGTGCCACTTCGACATAACAAATTGTTTAATAAATATGCATCTATGTATGTATGTATGTACATAAGCATCAACACCCACCGAGCGTAGTGAAAATTATTTGGAAAAATTATAAAATTTATTTATTTTCCGAGCAAAATTGAAATGTTAAGCCAAAGCTGCATTTGGATATGCACGCGCCCATAAATGTGCATACACACACACACATGTATACATAAAATACACACACATACTTAAAAACTCCACTTGTGGTTGAAGAGAAATCTTTTTTTTTTGCTAACATATTTGCCGTTAGAACACTTAAAAATTTGCATTCTTTACTTTTTACAAAATCCACTACCTCTCAAGCATCTACTTTGATAAGCAAAAATTGTAGTCTAAGTGGGAGTAAATACAGCCACTTTTCATTAGGATTTCAAAAGGCCTTTTGAGCTTATACTAATAGCCACGCAGTAAATCTGACGTGCTCATAGCTGGTGCTTTAAGGGCAGTACTAGTTCTAGCTCTAGCCCAATGTAATGCTTTCGATTATTTAATTTTAAACGAGCATGTCCTTGAAGATCGTTATACATTACTTTGCCACTCAAAACCGGTTCCATCTTAGATAGTTGTAAAGTAGTTACATCTTGGCGTAAGAATTCCGGTTCAAAATTTTATAGCGCCTTCACTGACGACTCAATACTCGACGATGAACGACTTGCAATCGACATGAGGCAGAGAACTCCCTACCACTGCAGCGCCTTTCGAGCTGACCTTACTGCATTTATGGTAGCCGCTTTATGGTTAGTTAAATCTAATAGAGGATCTCAGCATATCAGAATAAATTCTGAAAGCCAAGCGGTCACTAAATCTCTTCATTGTAGTCACACCACCTCAAAGATGACAATAAAAAGCAGAAAGTTCTTCATCGAATTCTCAACCATACGTAAAACGTTCTTGGTTTGGTGACCCGGACATAGCGATATCCCAGGAAATGACATGACTGACGAATTAAGCCGAAAGGGTTCAATTCTAATCATGGCAAACTATGCACACGATGTGGTCATACATCTTTCTTCTGCACTATACCTGCTATGATCAACCTCCATCAGCAAGGCCTATAGCAGATGACAGAGCGAAACCATATTCGATATGACCAGGCGGATCTGGTCATTGATCGATATAAAAAGACCTAGATCTTTACTCATTCTAAACCGAACCTTTATGTACATAACAACCGTGCATATTTACCGTACATGGTATGTTGAGGACTCATGGTAGAAGGATGGGCTACTTCTCTAATGATTTCTGTTACAGCTACTGCTGCAAAGACGAGAAGAAGTCGGTGAAACCACCACTTCGCCCTAACTGCAGCCCAATATCGCTTCGAAGGTGACTTCTACTTTGACTTTCATTAAACCACTTGGTTTGGCTCGACATTTAGCAAGGTAAGAGGAACATCTTCTATATTAAATTCAACTCAGGGGCTCTACAAATCTGTACTAAATACACCAGAGTCCCGTATAGGTTGGTAGAGTGGCCATCTATTTCTAATAGACAGCAATGCCAAGTGTCTCTTTGTTCCTCAGTCTACTAACTTAATATAGTGTAGAACTATTAAGGGAAAAGCTCAGCATCCCTTTGGCCTGAATTTAGTGAAGTCAAAACGAATTGATGGATCCATGTTTTTCGATCCGTTATTGTTGGTGTTGTTGTTATAGCCTAAAGCTAAACGAATTTAGGACCACAGAAAGCTGCACTACAATGCCAACGAGGTTATCTCGAGGTGGATCCAGCATATCTGCTTTATCGAAAGGCACCGACCCAAGAGCGAGGAAGTTAATGAAATCGATTTCTACAAACTTGAAAGAAATGGCTGGGAGCCGGCTCACGGTTCGACCAACATTTAAAATTAAATTTTCTAATTGCGGTCGCCCCTCAGCAGAGAATACCAAGTACTGCGGATGTATTTCTAACAAGACAATCAAAGCTTCTCTAAAAATCCATCAGCCTTTCGGAGGCGGCTTAGTATAGACTCTAGATTTCTCCATTTGTTGGAAAACCATCAAGACACAAGCAACAAATTGGAGAAGGAGCTCGGCCGAAAACCGCTACAGCGGCCACGAAGCGCCAATTAAAGATATCTATAATTTTTTTCATTTTATTTGCAGGCACATCGAATTGAGTTGAGATGACTTACACGGCGCTGTGAAGAAAAGAAGAAAAAAAAACTACAAAAAATATCTGAAGATCTCTTACCGTCAGCTGTGTCTAGAATAATCACTAATCGATACAATTAAATTGAGTAGTTTCTGAGTATTTACGGGTGAATTCATTCAACATAATGCATAAGTATTTGTGGAATTTCCATCAACTAGCGGTAATTATCTTATTACTGGCAGACAATAATCGTCTAACGGTTGCACAAGCAAATGATAGACCGAATATAGTAATTATATTGGCTGATGACTTGGTAAGTAGACACACGCGCTCATTGAGAATACTTCCTATTCTGTATGTATATATATATATATATCTTCCACGATTTCCTTCAGGGTGTCGATGATGTCAGTTTTCGTGGCTCCAATCAATTCCTCACACCCAACATTGATGCGCTGGCTTATAGCGGTGTCATTTTGAAAAATCTCTACACACCAACAATGTGTACGCCTTCACGTTCGGCGCTGCTGACTGGGAAATATCCAATACACACAGGTGAGTTGTAGGTTATTGGGGAAGTTGGAGACTCAAATTTCTCTTTTCTACTATTAGTTCTCTTTCTTAAATTTCCTTCCCCCCTACTTTTTTGCGTAGGTGGTAGCGACTGGCATTCGGAATGCCAGAGTTCGAGTCTTGGTATGATTAATATCCAAATATTCCAGTAAATAAAATTTTCTAATTGCGGTCACCCCTCTGCAGGGACTCCCAAGCCTTTCGAGTGTATTTCTTACATAAAAGTCAAAGCTCCTCAAAAAAGTCCATCTGCCGTTCGGAGGCGGCTTCCTTTCTTCTTCTCTAAAGTCTTCACAACCCTTTGTCTATTTATGAAACAAATAAGGCCTAAAGATACCCTTGAGATGGTTGTTAGAGCGTACATTAAAAAAAGCGAGGATGCAATCGGGAGCACCCCGACAAACATTTACTGGACCGCTGAACCTTTGCCCAGGTATATCAGGAAGCTATACCAACACCAATCAGCCCCATAGAGAAAAACCGCTGGACAGACCGGTGTAGCGATAGCCTTTAAACGCCAATCTCCAAGAGGCTGTAAAAATCCTCATGAGCTCTTTGCTAATGAATGGCGTACTCGGAGTTCGAGCACTACCTGTTGAAGACGAAAAGCTTGAATTGCTTGAGGCATACCTAACCTATATCCCGCATGCAATGGAACCCCGCACGGTACTCACCATCCCTTTGCATGCCTAAAGAAATCTAGTTATCTACACCCTCTTTCCATCTGATCCGAACCCGTCGAAGCAGCTCGTTTCCTCGACCTTCCCTTCGATAACTTAGTCTAGTTTTGTTAAAGAACCGCTGTTACAATAACAACAACAACAATGGAGAACTAGCCTACACCCATATTGTTGTTGTTCTTGTTGCTCTAACCTCAAAAAACTCCACAAATCGATTTTGAGGCCTCAGTCACTCTCGTTGAAAACCCGAGCTCGCTTTATTAGTTCCTTCTCTAATCTAACATCCCTATCCAAGTGGCCCGATGGAAGAAAATGGATTCATGTGAAATCTATTGCAAATTTGAGCCTGGGTAGTGGTAGGGCAGGAACTCTGTCGTCAGTCTGAAAGATTCAACCCCCATGACTAAACATCATCGAATAGACTGAAGCAAGGGCCAGATTCTTGCAGAGGAGAATCAAACGTCAAACTACCTAGTTATCGCCCTATGCCCTAGAGGTGTGTATAATCTGAGATTCCAACATCGTCTCGATGCCCTATGGTTTTTACTTTTGAGTAGGAATCACGGTGAACTATGTGGAGTATACAGAATTCTCAAACAATTTCGCATGTAAAAAAACGTTGTATGCGTTTGTCAAATGACGTCTGATCTACGGGTATAATCTGATCCAACGTCAAAACTTTATCTACGCTTGCTGTACGAGCATGCATTCAATGTACACCGTGTTCCTCAAAATGTACAGATAAAATATTAAGACATAACCAGAGTTGAGTGAAACAAAACTTGTCCTACAAAGCTTGTATCAGTCTGGACTATCGTTGGTTTTCCGATCGCCGAACTGTTGGACATTTCTTCGGACGTGTGCTTTGCTAAAGCGAAGTCCAATTGGATCAAACGTTGGTTCAAAGGATGGAGCTTAAGTATTTGACCGCCATCGAGCGCACTTACTAGACTCACTACGCAGCCCTGTGTATTATAGCCAATAAGGTTGAACTCAGTGAAAAATATGATAAGAGTGTCAATCGATATAGTATAGTGTTTGATCCTCTACTGCCCTACACTCAGCTGATTCAAGCTTACTTAGCTCTTGAAGATGATATATCCAATAATTTATTATTTCATAGTAGAAATTTTAAATATTCGTTAAGTAGTTAAATAAAATCTTCCCTTCCAGGTATGCAACATTATGTCATACCAAACGATCAGCCCTGGGGCCTACCGCTTAACGAGACAACGATGGCGCAAATCTTCAAACAACACGGCTACTACACCAGCCTGATTGGCAAATGGCATCAGGGCATGTCACGCAAGGCGTATACGCCCACAAAACGCGGCTTCGATCAGCACTTCGGCTATTTGGGCTCCTACATTGACTACTACGATCAGACGTTGGATGCTACGGTGCGTTGGAAATTAACAGCAAAAAGAAAATATTATTTGTATATATACATATGTACGAGTAGGTATATGAATTTGCTAAAAATTTGCATACCAAAAAATGCTAGGAATTTAAATAATACCTCTTTACACTCACACATAGATATACGAGTATACAAAAACAATGTAATAATAAAATTTTATTTCTATAGACGAAAAATTTATCCCGCGGTCACGATTTCCGTGACAATCTTGCTGTGTCGCACGAATATATCGGCACTTATGTCACCGATCTGCTCACCGATGCAGCAACGAAATTGATAAGCAAACACGATGCCAATAAACAACCGTTGTTTCTCTTTCTAAGTCACATGGCGCCGCATGCTGGGGACGAGGATGATCCGTTGCAGGCGCCACCGGAGGAAGTTGAGAAATTTAAATACATCAAAGATGAGAGCAGACGAACGTACGCGGGTGAGTAGAGAGAGAGAGATAAAGGGAGATAAAGGGAGATAAAGGGAGAGATAGAAAGGAAAGAGAACGAAGAGACAACAGAGACTGTTATCAAATTTCTTGACCTTCTTTGAGAACAGCTAAATCCAGGTACTCCACTCAGGAGCTCTACAAATTCTTATTAAATACACCAAAACAACATATAGTGTGGTAGGAAGTAGCACTAATTGACCTCGCTAGAGTTGGTAATAGGCGGCAATATGAAGTCTCTCTTAGCCATGGTTGCTGATCCATTGAACTAAGAACGTTGTAGAAGGTCTAAGAAAAAGGGAAAGAATGACATAAGTTTAATGAAGCCAAAGTTCTTAAAAAGGAGAAAGTACAAAAGCCTCAATTTGGATATGCTTCTAAAAGTTCTCGGTTAAGGTAGACTGCTCTGCGCATCTCATTCGTTCTCTTGAAGACGTCTGCCTGTGGTTTGTATTCCTGGCATCTCATCAACGACTTCACCATAACGTTCCTCCTGTTATTGTAAGTGTTGTTGTTATAGCCGAAAATAAACTCATTAAGGCGAATTCAGCAAATGTGCTCTTTTGAAAAACTCCGACGCAAGAGCGAGGCGAGAAATGGTCAGAGTTTTCGGGGCACTTATTGCAAGCCGAACTCCATTGAATATGTCGAAGGTGAGTTTCGACTGGTCGACGTTAAGTCTAGTTCTGGATACCGCACTTAGTTGCAACCGGACTACACGGCTTTCCAGGGACAGATGGAGCTCCTCGTATGCTAGAAAAGGTGGACAAAGAGTCCTTTGTATGCAACGTTGAGAGAATATCAGCAGTTTCACACGTCCATCGACTCTATTAAGTATTACTGAATAGAGACTGTTTAGGCTTGTCCTTCTTTCTTGCTCTGCTTTGAGAGTGGCTTCGAGCAGCTCGCTGCAGGGATTATCCCCACGTTAGCAGTGCAACGTATTATGAACTGTTCTATATCCATGCAGTTGTCTGGTCGTTCAACTATTTTCCCATTCATCCCTGCGTCTCTCTATATAATAACTCGTGGACAATTTCAGTTGTCTTGTTGGTTACACAACACACTTTCTTCTTTCTTTCAGCGATGGTTTCCAAACTGGATGAGAGCGTTGGAGCCGTGATTGATGCGCTCGCAAAAAAAGGTATACTCAACAACACGATACTACTCTTTCTATCCGACAATGGTGGACCAACGCAGGGTTTGCACTCCACTACAGCCTCCAACTATCCACTCAGAGGGGTAAGTACTTTTAAGTGGTCGAGTTCACACGCTAAATTATACTCTCTTCCATTTTCTTCAACCATTAACAGCAAAAAAATTCACCATGGGAGGGAGGCATACGTTCTTCCGGCGCGATTTGGTCGCCACTGGTTGAAAATTTGGGCATCGTTTGGAAGCAACAACTCTACATAGGTGATTTACTACCCACCCTGGCGGCTGCAGCCAACATACCACTCGACACACAACAAATGCAACTCGATGGGCTGAATCTCTGGTCTGCACTCAAGTACGGCTACGATGCGGTGGAACGTGAAATCTTACACAACATAGATGACATTTACGATTATGTTTCGTATGGGAAGGGCAAATGGAAATTCATTAATGGTACTACAGATAACGGTGCATACGATAATTGGCTTGGTGTGCGTCATAATGCCAGCGATGAGGAGATTGATCCACGCGCCACCCACTATGAGGAGCTCATAATGAATACGACCGTTTGGCAGCAGCTCTCTGAGATTAATGCACATAATGCGCTGGCACGTGTTGTCAATATAACGGGATTGCGTGAAGAAGCGGGCATCTATTGCCTACATGCCAACGCCTCAGATGGTGTGGCTTGTGATCCACTATTGGGACCGTGTCTCTTCGATATCGATGTAGATCCCTGCGAGCAAAATAATTTATATGATACGATGAGTGATGGCAAGGTGGTGCAAGAGATGCTTGCGCGTATCGGACATTTCCGTGAGACGCAACATCCGCCAAATAATAAACCGTTAGATCCGAAATGCGATCCACGGCTGTACAATGGCGAGTGGACGTGGTGGCAGGATATACAGGATGGCCTTGCCGATGAGGATGATGCTGGTAATGGTGGCAACGGCGTTGAGCAGATGCTGAGTGTACACTTGAGTGGTTTGCTGCTTCTATTAATCAGCGTCGCTTTGATATTATGAGTGTAAAGTATTCCTTTAGTTTATAAGTATTAACAAGAATTTTGTAAAATAAATTTGTTAATAGAAAAAGAAATAAAAACATTTATTTATTTTAAATTTAATAAAAAAGTTTCGTTTCCATTCTTATTACGAAAACGAAATAACCTTTCAATGAGAGTCTTAACGTTGCCTACATTTCGGATTGATAAATAAGTAAATAAAAAACGATGCCTACATGTCAGCGCAGTCAGGCAGCTTTCTATGTGGTCCTCTGCTAACGCCAGCAAGAAGAGCTTAACGCTTCATCTGTCGTATTCGCTTTGCGCAAAAGTCCATAAATCCTCAAAAACTTACTTTCGAAAAATTCTCATTGAATGTTTTCAATACTGATCATTTAACTGTCAACAGTGATCTGGGAGCCGAGATTCGAACGCGCAGACTGTTTGAACACGAAAGCTTTTCACTTTGTCTAACCTAGAGGAGGCAGAACTAACTATTAATTATTTTCTTCAGCATTAATTAGACGACGAGACACAATAGAAAATCGCTCTGTATGAATAATCGTGTGGAACCGAATGGCACGGAGAGGTCCTTTCCCATTTCAGACGGCAATTATGGCAGTGTTTAGCCGTAAAAATTATGAGAGAATGTCAAATTCTGACAATTCGTCAGAAGAGAGAGTCAGAAAAGATGGTGTGTATCGATACCTCTCTCTCGGAAGTTTTGCAAGGTTTTGCTTACCGTGGAATTACCAGACCCGAAGCCGCATTGTTAAAATCCATTCAGTTCATTAGTGGTGGACTTCAACACTTCACACAATATACTCGACAGGTCGTTATATGCCATGTATAGCAGGTTTATCCCACGATAATTGGCGCATTTGGTGGTGTCGGCCTCTTTGAAACTTGGGAAGAGCATATTCAAGTTCCAATCGGCTCGCATGAACTCGTTCGATACATTTTCCCAAAAAATCTCACTTAGTTTGGTTTATGCATCTCTTGGATGTGACAAGCTACTGGTCCGAGTCGATATTTGGAACGCACGCACAATCAAAATAGTGAAAACATATTTATATGGTAGCGAGTTTTTCGATCTGAAGGTTACCATCTAGTTTTCCGAATTCTCTTATACCGCATATTTCGGGTCCTTCTGAAGTCGAACAGCGTCAGTCCATTTGGAAGTAATTCGTTGTGAAAGCTGAATTTATCGACTGTTTACATGACAGCTCTCAGCCCCATCGCTCAACTCTGCTGCGTGTGGTTGTATAAGTTAAACAGACGATGGAGTAAGACCTCAATTAGTTTTCAAACCGTACATTTCGGAGTGACCCCACAAAAACCTCCCTCTTTCACCCTTGACTCAGTGCTTCCCACGGGCTTGGTAGTGCATCGCGCTCAAAGATTACTCACGTTTGCACCCAAGATATTTCATTCCACTTTCCTCGAAATTTAACTCGTTCACTCTTTATTATTTTGTTTTGTCAGAATTTCTAAATACAACAAAGACCAGAAAGCTATGGCTTTGTAAGATCCAGAGTTTACAGTACTTTTTAACAAAGATTTAGCATGAATGTTTTTTCGGCTCAGTCCCGCCTAGCTCGTCTGTGGTATTGGGGAATAATTTTTCGCAAAGTTTTTCTCTCGAAGACTCCAAAGGTCGACTCATCGGATATCGATATCGGACGCGAATGATAAGAGACTTGTAGAGTTTGGTTTTGGTTCATCGGGAGAGGACTCTTGTCTATCTTCTCAGCTCAAGGTAGTTTAGTGAAATTTACTTAGCTAAGAGCAGCCTCTTGGCGATATTCCATCGGTTTATTTACCTTCACTACGGCTAAATAGGTCAAATCCTCAAGGAAGGTTGCTCCCTTTAGTCTAGGGCACGTCATGTATGTAAAAGATAGAATATGGCTTCCTCCTGCTTATCTTGTCTAACGATTATCAAAATAATTATAAATAAATATATAATCTTTACAATGTAATTATTCCCAGACAAATGATTTGATAGCACTACAACAACAGCTACAATACACATAATAAATACATGCTTTTATTTTTAGTAAGATTATTTACATAGGCAACTATATAAATATACATACACGTATGTATGTATATGTATGTACGTAAAGTATTTGAAAATATAAATCAGAGTACCCAACAAGCGCATTGGACCCGCTTTGACTTCGAGACGAACGAACTTTTGCTGTCGTGACGATATTTTACGACGATTTACTGCCTTTCGCCATCAATATCTCATTCTGGATTTTGTCTTTATGGGATTATATATATATATATATATATATATATATATATATTATACAAACATATATATCTATGGTTAGTCGCATTATTATCTACTTAATCACGGTTGACATTCTGTTTTTAAACCATTGACAGTGTCATATTTTATAAGTAAATAAGTTATCAGCGAGAATCACATACATACAGATACAGATTCCTACCAATACATACATTCATACATGTCGTATGTAAATATATTTATGCATACATACATATAATGCACTAATCTTTATTGCTCGAGTTGTATTTTTATCTAAGAATGACATATCTACATACAAGTATATACATATGTATTGTATATAATATCAGCGCTTCGTTTTGCTTGCTCGACATTTTTATGCTTCAAAATTGAATAAACGACTTTGACATTGAAAAGAGAGTGTGAGAGCAGCGGTGATTTTGCACAGTAGGCAAGTTGTGAGAAAATAGTTTTAAAAGCAGTTTGCGGCATGAATTTATATAAAATTCTATTAACTTAAATTAAGCACAATAAAATACAATAAATCGAAAAAAAAACAAACTAACTAAGTTTAAAAGAAAACTCAAATCTAATAAAATAAAACAACATTAATTACATTATAAAAATAAATAAATGAAATAAAGTAAAGTAAAATTCAATGAAGTGAAATGACATAAAATAAAATTAATTTAATTTAAGTAAAATTTAATTAATTATGTGAAAATAAAGCAATAAAAATTTAAAAAGAATAATAAAAAATGTAATAGTGGCTCATGTCAGATATCTTGTTATTTGATCTGTTTGTGTCTTTCCATCCATGGCTTTGGGTAAGGACCTCAACCTTTTGCAACGAGCCGAGTGCTCCAAAATGAATAAAAAAATATATTATTAAAAATTAATCGAAAAAGTGTAAACTAGAACAAAGTTAAATACATAGAAGAAAAAAAGTATATTCAATTAAGTTAAATTATATATATATAATGTTATTGAGTAAATAAGAATATTAAAAAAATTAAGTAATGCAATGAATCCAATCAAAATAAAATTAAACAAAATTAATTCAAATATAAATAAATTACATAAATATAAATTAATTTATAAATATATAAAATAAACACACAAAAACATAAAATAAAATGAAAACGAAAACGATATAAAATACAAATAAAGTTAAGGTAAAGTTAAATATTTAACTTAAAGAAATTAACGAAACTATAAAATAAATAAAAACAAAATAAAGTAAAATAAATTATTTTGATTAAACTTTATTAACTATAAAATAAAATATTAATTCGAAAATGAAAATTTAATTAAGTTAATAAAAATTAAATTAAATGAAATTGCACTAAAATAAACTAAAATTAGTTAAATGAACTAAAAAATTATATAAAACAAAATAAGCTAAATTGAAATGAAATAAAATTAAATAAATTAAAAAATAATTCATTCAACTTGGTAAATTTTAAATTAATTGTTTTGATGATTCCTTAAATAAAAAAAATAAAATAGCCTTGTAAAGTAGCATAAAATGAAATAAAATAAAATTAAATTACTAAATTAATGTTAAAATAATTAAATTAAATTAAATGAGACGTAAATAAAAGGATATGCTATGAAATCCAGTCAAGTAAAATAATTTTAAAACGAAATTAAATTAAATTAAAATAATAAAATTTGTTAAATCAAAATAAAAAATGTTGTAATAAAAACTTAAATTCAATTCTTTCAAATAAACCCTGAAAAAAATTAAAAAAAAATATATGAAATTGATTTTATTTAAACAAAATAAAATAAATTAAAAAAGTAATAAATTAATTGACAAAGTAATTAGACAAAGTAAAATAAATTTTATTGAATTTAATATATAATAAATATAATTTAATATAAAATATATTATATAAAGTAAAATGAAAAAAAATAAAAGTTAATTAAAATAAAGTAAATTAACATAAAATAAATTCAGATTAAAAATGTTTAAAAAAATCAAATGGCTTAACCTCAAATGACAAATAAAGTTAAATTAAATACAGACATAAAAAATATATACGTATTTATAGTGTAATAACAATATAATATGTAAAATAAATTTAAAAAAAATTAAGCTTAGTAAAATCAAATAAAACGAAACTAAAGGAAATATATTAAATTAAAATCAAATAGAATTAAATTTAAAAGTGAAATAAAATAATATTTAATTAAATAAAACTACAATTAAAAATAAAACAAAAATAAATAAAAAAGTAATAAACTAAAAAAAAATAATTGAAATAAAAATGAAAAAGAAAATTTATAAAAATCTTTTATTTTGATTTTTTTTTATTAAAATAAGTTGTAATAGTAATTTTAAGAAATTCTTTAACTTAGTATTTAGAATCAGCAACCGTCACATATGACGTCATGAATTAAATTATTGGTTCAACAACATTTTCATTGCCACATTACTTTATTCTAATTATAGGATTTCACACATAATTATTTTATAGTATTCCACTGCTTAATACCCAAAACTAGATATTCTCTTACTCGTTTTACTATCTATTCCATATTACTGACTAACTCACTTTGAGCAGGCCAAAAAAAAAAATAATAATAATAATATAATATAAATGGTAAACTATAAAGTAAGCCTATTCAACAAATTAATTAACTAATTAAGTGATTTCTCAAACGAGTTTAATTAGTTTTAAATAAATATTTAGGCAAATGGGAACTAATTTATTGGAAGGTGAGTATGTGTTCCTTACGGTCTATTCACCTTTGTAATGAAAACTAGAAAAAAAATTAAGCATTTATTGAAAATAGAATAAATAACAAACACATATGTATTAATTTATCAAAGTAATTTTTGATGTGCTCAAAAAGCATATCAACTTTATGAGAGTTTATGGTATAAATATAGCGTCGCTATCAATATCGAAAATTAGAAATCCTTGTAAAAAATTCATTAACCCTTAACCTACCACAACAATTCAAAGAACGTCTCTCTCCGTCTCTCTCTCTCTCTCTCTCTCTCTCTCTCTCTCTCTCTCTCTCTCTCTCTCTCTCTCTACTTAACTCAACTCGAATCAGCTGCTGAAGCCAACTGACGACATTTGGCTTACGCTGATGCCGCCTCAATCAGCTATGATGAAAGCTAAAGCTGACGTCGAAGTCATGTCGTCGTCTTCGCAATTCACAGTTGCTTACGCTCTTATTGAGATTTTATGAATTAAACTCGTCGCTTCCGTCGTTTACCTATTGGCAGTACTCATATTTATACATTTGAGTGGTAAGTATGATATCTTTCTGGGCAGACAATGACTATAAATCTACGTATCTACGCATATTTGCTAACAACAATTGTTTTACGGTCTCTGCCTAGCTGTTGTTGTTACAAAAAAAATATCGTTTAACTTTATTAAAGGTATTTTACTTTAAAACTCACAACCCAGTAGAAAATTTTACCTTCGTATAATGTCAAATATTTTAAAAATAAAACTTTTCCTTAATTTATATTGCCCACTCTTATTTAATGTCCAAGAATAGTATCTTCGTAATGAGAGACGTAGACGTTATCACTAAGGTTCAAGTTGTATCAACCACACTCTCTTTTCCTCATATATAGTATATATTAACATATCCCCATCAATAAGGATTGCGTTTGTAATAAACAGGTTTCAACACTCCTTACAAGATTATGAATTCAAGCTGAGAAAGATATTACTTTTAGGCTTTGATTTTTCAGAAAATTTCACCACAGGTCGACAACATCAGTTTTCGAGTTGAAACAAACCGCACCACTTTCCGCTAGAAGTAAAGGTGAAAAGCTTTTACGAGACGCTTTGTTCATCTTTGAGTATAATTTTCCATCTTCGGAAGGAAACATCCTCAGCACCTTAAGTAAGCAAATTTATTAATTTAAAAATAATCTGTGATATTAAGGTATTCCAGAGTCTCTATCCTGCCAGCCAACTGAAAGAAACTCACATTTTTGCCACTAACATCCACTAAGAGTAAGTGATTAGTAGTCTGAAAGTAGTTACTTTGAGGCAAAAACAAATCATTAATTCAAATAGTTTTTTTTTTTTTGATAGATATTTCATGTTTCCTTTGCTGCTTACCAACCAAAAATAATTTAGATTTTTTTTACATCAAAGAGTATGTATTGATTTGATTAATGGTAGTAACTTTGAAACTAGTAATAATCTAGTTATTCAATTGGTTTTCATATTATTTATTTTTTCTACTATCACTTAGGAACTTATCCCAAAATGATTTTAGGCTAAAGCTTTCTTTCCACCATAATTCATTAAGTTATATTAATATATTAATCGAAGAGTAGTTACTTTGCAACCAGTCTAGAACTAGGCACTCAAAGTTCTTTTTTGTCTTTTCTGCCATCAATTATTCTCTTGTTTTTAAATTATTATACGTGAAAATATAATCAGTAAGTTTTGAAGTAGTCTTATAATAGCTACTTTGAAACTAGTTCAAGCATGTTCACACAAGGTTTTCATCTTCGTTGGCTTCGTTCAATTATCATTTATAAAAATAAAAGAGTTTAGTTTTCAACTAGCCCAATAATAGTTACTACAGAACTAGCATAAAATTAGTCATTCAAATATTTATCATATGTATGTGTATCTAAATTTTTCTATCACCATTCATTAAGTTACAATAAGTAGTTAGTTAGTTACTTTCGTATCTCGTGTTTTCTACACGTTAATGAAATTACATTTGGAAATTTTTAAGCTAGTCCAATTAGGAACTACTTTGGATAAGTTACTTCGGTACTCGTACGAATATTTTTCTTCTTTTTTCAAACGAAATTCTGAATTGTAAATTGCTAAGTTATGAACTAGTCCAATAATAGTTACTTTGGAACTAACATAAAATTAGTCAATGAAATATTTTCCATATAAGCTCAGTACCTCTTTTAACGCTCCTCTCAAATAAAAAGGAAAATATTCTAATAAAAATATTAACTAACAGTAATGACAACAATCTGTTTGACTGGTCTTAGCATAAGCAAAAACAAAAACAGCAAATTAATCGTTGACTTTTCAATTGCACGCCGACGCTGCGCCGCGCTTGCACGCACGCTGTGCTATGCTGGGCTGGCTGTATTAGCGTTGGGATAGCTAAAAACAGTTAAAATGTGATCGACGTAAAACAATTACAGCCAGACTAACTCAACATTCAATTCAGTCAACGCGAGAAATTGAAGTGCGAAGGATCAGTTGCAGAGTGGAGTGATTTAAACGAAATGCAATTTGAAGTGAATTAAACGAAGCGGTTGCTGTTTAAAGGGCGAAAACTTAGTAGTTGTGGAGTGTTAAATTAGTGAGTTGGTCGAGAATTATTTATTAAAAAAAAAAATAAAAACAAACAAATTCAATAAGCGAAAAGTTTAAAGTGTTTTAAAAATATTTTATTTAAATAAAACAAAACTTTTTAGAGACTGAGTATGGAATTGTGAAGTGTCAAGGTGTGAAAAACAACTCCAAATTCAAGTATATTCCCTTAGCACTTTGTTTTCACTTAACTTTTATATTATTCTTTTTTCATTTTATTTTTTATTTATTTTTTTTTTTTTTTGCATTCTTTGTATTTATTTTTTCTTCATTCAATTTTTGTTTAATTTTTTAATACTTTGTTTCATTTTATTCTTATGGCTATTGATTTTTAATTTATGCAAACAAGTGTTTCATTTAATTCATTGCCTTTTTTCAGTTTTTTTGCGTGTTTTCAGCGTTTAAATTTTTTTAAAGAGCTATTATTATCGATATACAAATGTCTAAGGAATTAAAGATCACAATTTACATATTTATAAAGTTAACAATGGGAAGAGTTACTTAAGGACTTACCTGAGCTTCACATCTTCAAAATAAATCGATTTGTTTTATTGGTTTTTAATTTCTACAACATCCCAAGAATAATATGCTAAATTATAAAAAATCAGAATTAAAGTCTCGGAGATATCACCTTAAGAAGGATATGCGCTGTCAACGCTGACGCACCTTTTCTTGAAGGAAAGAACCGGTCCTTTCCGGGCTTATGAATATTTAGGAATTTTTTTCTTTAAGGCAGCAAATACCTTGTTTTTATATAAGAATAAATTGAGTCCAACAGATTTTTTTCCACCCGAATAAGCCCATGTAACCTCTTACTGTTCAAAATTTCTGCGTTCATTATTTTATGAGAAGTTATTTAAAAAAAAACATCTTTTATGGCGCGGAAAATTTCTACAGGCTTCGTATTTAAAAAATATAAAAAAGGGTTTAAACTCCCAAAGGCATCTACTAGATCAGTGTTCCGACCGAGGTTAAATACCTAGATAGGTATGATTTTAAACTCACTTGGAATCAAAACACAGTAGACCGCACTCTACATCTGCAAGGCAGCGATCGATAGATGGTGGGGACTAAGACCCAACAATATATACTTGCTAGCCGACACCAGACGAAACTAGTCTCAGAAACTCTTCCTTTCGTCTTTCTTTTTTTTTCATTCCTCTTTTATTTTTTGATAATATTTTTAATTTCGTAAATTAGACAAAAATAGAGCGACATTCTGAAAAAAAAATTAGCGAGGGATTTTCCATTTCAGCTAGTCCAAACTACCTACTTTTGAACTGGTTCAAATACAGTCAACTAAAATGCCCATGCGACAGTGATTCTCCCATTTCTAAAAATAGCTATGATACGCAGATTTTGGTATCTCATCCTCAGCGCAGCGCTTTTTATCTACCCAACAAACCGTTGTCCTTTTATGGGTCTCTCCTATTTTGGGAACAGGAAGAAGTGAAGTGAAGTAGTGAGTGTAGTAGTTTATGGCCCAAGAATTACCAAAAAGCCATTAACGAGTGAATATTTCTTTACTCGGGTGAATTAAAATAATAAAAGAAAAATCGTTAATCGAATGTTCGCAGGCAACAAAAATTGCTCCTCTTTTTCCTCTTTTCAACACACCTTCCATATATGTAATATTGCATTCAAGTCGAAAATTTCACAAAATCAATTCAACAATGAAGTGAACTGTGTAATTTAAAAACCAACAGACCTGATAGCTTTTAAGTACTTCAACAAAAGTAAAAAAAGAAAAGGAAATGAATTCATGCCAGAAAGAATTCCAATTAATAAGAACATCAAAATAATATTATTCTACAGTACATGACTCAACACACTTTCACTTAAAACTGACAGCAATAACTGGACTCTGCCACTAGCTGCAGACTGACTTGTCACATACCCGGCTTCATTTATTCTTCTTTTAGCCTTAACCTTGAACAGCTAGTTGGATTATGTGATTGCTCAGCTTCTGGTTGCATACGAGTAGAGACATACTTACAAACATACAAGCTAGACTAGTTCACTGGCAGTCTTGAGTCGTAGTAAATTTCCAAAGAATTCTTATTTTATAATTTTATACAATTTTATATATTTTTAATTTACCTATTTTTTCCTTTTCTTGTGTTATTTTATTGTATTTTACTTTATTTTATTTTTTATTTTATTTTACTTTATATAAATCTATTTTTTTTTCAATTATTTTATTTATTTTGTTTAATTTAAATTTGTTTATTTTAGTTTGGTGTATTTCATTTTATTTTATTTTATATTATTAAATTTTATTTTATTTATTTTAGTATTTTATTTAATTTTTTTTTTATTTTATTTTATTTTATTTTATTTTATTTTATTTTATTTTATTTTATTTTATTTCATTTTATTTTATTTTATATTATTAAATTTTATTTTATTTTATTTTATTCTATTCTATTTTATTTATTCTATTTCATCTTATATATTTTATATTTTTTTATTCTATAATATTTTAATTTATTTTATTTTATTTTATTTTATTTGATTTTATTTCATTTTATTTTATTTTATATTATTAAATTTTATTTTATTTTATTTTATTTATTTCAGTATTTTATTTAATATTTTTATTTTATTTTATTTTATATAAATTTATTTTATTTTAATTATTTTATTTATTTTGTTTAATTTGAATTTAGTTTATTTTAGTTTGGTGTTTTTCATTTTATTTTATTTTATATTATTAAATTTTATTTTATTTATTTTAGTATTTTATTTAATTTTTTTTTTATTTTATTTTATTTAATTTTATTTTATTTTCTTTTACTTCATTTTATTTTGTTTTATGTTATAAAATTTTATTTTATTTTATTTTATTTATTTTAGTATTTTATTTAATATTCTTATTTTATTTTATTTTATTGTATTTTATTTTATTTTATTTTATTTTATTTTATTTTATTTTATTTTATTTCATTTTATTTTATATTATTAAATTTTATTTTTTTTATTTTATTCTATTCTATTTTATTTATTCTATTTCATCTTATATATTTTATATTTTTTTATTCTATAATATTTTAATTTATTTTATTTTATTTTATTTTATTTAATTTCATTTCATTTTATTTTATTTATTTTATAAATTTTTATTTCTTTTATTTGCTGTTTTGATTTTATTTTATTATATTTTAATTTTTTTATTTATTTTTTTTGATTTTATTTTATTTTATACAATCTTATTTTATTTTTTTTTTATTTTGTTTTATTTAATTTCTTTTATTTTATTCTATTTATTTTATATTTTTTTAGCTTATAGTATTTTAATTTATTTTATTTTAATTTATATTATATTAATTTACTTCAATTCATTTATTTTTTTTTTATATTATTTTACTTCATTTCCTTTCCTTTAATTTATTTTATTTTATTTTATAGATTTATATTTATTTTACATATATATATTTTAATTTATATTACATATTTTATTTCATTTTATTTGCTTTTTCGATTTCACTTAATTTTATTTTCTTAAACTATATTTTATTTTATTTTATTTTTTTTTATTTTATTATTTATTATCTTTTATTATTTTATATTATTTTATTTACATTTAATATATTTTATTTTAATTTAGTTTATTTTATTTTAAATTTTTTTATTTCATTTCATATCATTTTATTTTACTTTATTTTGTTTTAATTTATTTTATTTAAATTTTTTTACTTCAATTTAAATTATGTTATTTCATTTCATATTATTTTGTTGTATTTTATTTATTTTTTTATACATGTAAGTTTATTTGATTTTTTTGTCTATTTTATTTACTTATCTAATTTTGAATATCATTCTGTTTCATTTTTTTATTTTTTTCCATTTCATTATCTTTTATTTAACTTTATTTCATTTTATTTTACTTTGCTTGTTTTATTTTGATTTAATATATTTCATTTAATTTTACTAATTTTTATTTTGTTTATTTAATTTTTTTTTATTTTATTTCATTTTTTTTTTAATATTTCATTTATTTTTTTTTTATTTTTTTTTTATTTTTTTTGTTTTTTTTTTATTTTTATTTCATTTTTATTTTTCATTGATTTTCATTTTTTCCATTTTTAATAATTTTTTTGAAAGTCTAATGGAACAAAACAGCAGACTAGCCAGTCAATGTGTTCTATTTATAAGCATATTCTAGCTTACATGGAAATATACCAGTGCGCAATCATACCTATATACATGTAAGATTTAACATAATTAAGCTTAACAGTCAGACGTACTTCACCTGATTATTTGTTTGCTGTGGCATTCTCCTAAAACAACAACAAAACCCGAGTGTTCAATCAATCGCATGTAACTTCCTTTGGCTTACAAGCAGAACGTGTTATACGTACATACATACATACGCTATAACAGCTGGTCAATTTCTTACAAGATACATATGTACATATGTATGTGACTTGTATCCCTTCCACCTTCTTCTTCTTCCCACATTTTCTGGGTTATTTGTACAAGGCATTCTCGTACGTTCAGTCGTTTGCATACAGTCAAGGTCACTCAATCGCTGAAATGGGTGGTTTTGCTCTGTCGGCTGGCTTATCTAAATACTACTTACTGCTCGTCTCACTTATCGTGATTGGTTTGCGTCACGAATTTATTTGTTTTACATAAAGAGTTTTAGAATTTTCACACAATTTGCCTATAGCAATTTTAGATTTTTCTCTTATTTTTCATGTATTGAAATTGCATAGAATTCATTGTTGATATTTTTACTTTTTTCTCATACGATTGAGATTAGTGTAATGAGATAATGAAAGCGTAAAAATTAAATGCTAAATATCTTAACCAATTAAGCTTAGCCATGTGTCCAATTAATCGTATTGGTCTACATGCATATTCGTTCAAAATCGCAATCACTAAACTAATAAGTAGTAAGCGTAGTCGCTGTCCTTTATTACCTGAACTATGTCAGTGTCGGCCGAGGTAGCCGAGTGGTTAGCATTGCGTCCTAGTGTCGTACTAACATCCAAAAAGTTATCGCAAATTAATTTCAATAAAAAATTAAGCTAAATTTTCTAATTAAAAAACCAACAGCCGTTCGGAGGCGGCTTAGTATAAATGGTGACCCCTCCATTTGTAGAAAAACATCAAGACGAAAAACCATAAATTGGAGGAGCAACTCGGAACTCGTATATATATATGTGTGTACAGTTCATCGTTCCATCAGTTGCGGCGACCATAAATCTTGTACATACAAAACCTCTTAGACGAAAGCTCCTAACGTGGACTCTTTTGATGTTGTCATCGGACATACCTACGCAATAGATAGCAGAAGGGGCAAGCGATGAGTGACTTGTAACGTTTGGTTTTCGTTCGTCGAGAAAGGAATTTACTTTTCAATTGACTACTCAGTCCAAAGTACTGTTTGGTTTGGAAACAGTTTGATTACTGAAGATATTTCGACTTATGCTCAGTCTTGACAAAGAAATTTTACCCTTCTCCAACAATAACTTGAAAAAGTCACACAATATAGAGTCACCTAGTCTCGGAGAGGTCCTTCCAGGTCCTGTTAGAACATTTAAAACTGCTTAGAGCCTTTGCACACGCGTATCCATTTAAAAGAGATACCAAATTCAGGGCTGACTCCCGCTGCGTTGTTGTCCTTCAAGTGAGCTTTGGAAGATACTTCATAGTCTGGCAATGAAACAGCAGGTCCGTCGTCATCGGATAGGAAATCGGTTTCACTATCGCTTAGTGTTCCATTTTCACTGCCATTCAGCAGTCTGGCGAAGTGTACCCTCTATGAATTCGGTATGCACTGGGCATCAGCCGACAGATCATGCCTTTGGATGCTGCCTGAGACTGTTGTTTTCATGCACTTTGATCTAAAGTATGTTAGCACCGGAAGGAGAAGAGGTAGACCCTAATTGGGTGTTGAGTCGATTTAGTCATATCCGTCAGTAAGAAAATTAGTTTGTTAATTTTTTGGGATATTTCAACGATCATTTGGAGAAAGCGGTCAGTTTGGATTACTATATATCATATATATGACCGATTTTCCAGAAAGTATCCCAGAGCATGAAATGTGGTGTTCTACCCAGGCATATCATGAAAAGAATATTACTGCTGAAAATCATCGAAAAAGGAGTTTTTTTTAACATTCAGACCCTTTGCAGCCGCTTTCTTCTGTTATGAAAATTAACATTTACCGCTAAAATGAAATATTTGATATTCGCGTGAAAGGTATTATGACAGTTCTTTTCTCTTGTTTTAATTACTTTTTTTCTTTTTGATTCAAAACAAAATAATATTTGGCCCAAATTTTGACCCAAAAATCACCACTTCCTATGTAACATTTGTTATGCCATCGGAATTCATCAACTGAAATCCCAAACTATTTGCACTACTTAACGGTAATACATTACTAAGTTTCTTAATATCAAGTTTTCACGCGCACGCATTACAAACATACGCACTTACGGTCATAACTTCACTCTTTGTATTATATATATATGTATATATACACACATATATGTATGTACCAACAAACTGCTAACTAAAGTAAGTTTAGTTTTTGAATTAATTTTAACGGTAAGCATTGTTGCAGCCATACCGACTTTAATTATAATTTTAAGTGACTCGGAATTGCATTTGTTTTATTGCCGCAAGTTTATTTCAAATTTCACTTTTTCTTAATGAAAAACATATTTCGACACATTCAATTTGAGCGCAACACTTTTATTGGAGTGGGTCTTTTTGGCAGCTGTTACTTGACTTATACTCAGTTTGGTTTGTCATTTTATAATGGACAACCCAAATCTTTATTTCAACGCTTCGCGCGCTGCGCACACTCGATATAATCGTCCCGCAGAGCCGACATTTCGAGCAACTATGGACTGAAGACGCTATTGCTGCTTATTGCTGTGCCGCAGAATATCGATGAAAACCCGAATGAGTTCATGCAACACCACGCGCCACATTTGGAGCTATGCATACCCACTTTTTGGAAGATTTTGCGAAAGGAGCTTGGTTTGTGGGCTTACAAAGTCTTACTAATTAAAAAATTGAAGCGGAACAATCATCAAGCGCGTCGCACTATCGGTGAATGGACCGGAATCGACAAAACCACGGATGCCAACTTTCAAAATAAAATTTTGTTTCGCGATGTAGCTCCCTTTTAGCAAGACTAGACATTGTTCAAAGGCAGAGGGGAGCGCTATAGCGTGTCTGAATTGGAAAATGTTTATGTGGACGGCCTTTGCTTCCAACAATGCGGCACCACATGCCATACAGTCAACGAAATAAACAATTAATTGCGATTAAAGAGCGCATTATATCGCGTCTTGGCGTGGCCTCCAAAATCGTTCGAATAGTACAGCTGGACTATATTCCGTGGTGTGCTATAAAGTCGCTGCCTACACAGCTAAGCCCAAGGCGATTGACGCCTTCGGTACGTTATTGCTGACCTACGGCCACAATTGATTTAAAAAGTAGTCGAAAATTGTGCCTCTCGGCTGAATATTATTCGAGCCAGCTATACCGGTCACTCATCATTTGTAAAACATAATAAAAAATCTCTGTCTTTTTAATAAAGTTAAATTCTTGGCTAAAAATAAGAAATTATACACTGAAAGCAACTGATGCGCCTTAGTCGCACGCTAAAAGTAAAGCGGCCACAATATCAAGAGCGCACATGATAAAGTCATCCTCCAACACGACAATGCTCGGCCTCACGTCGCAAAAGTGGTCAAAAAGTACCTGGAAACGCTGAAATGGGAAGTCTTGCCCCACCCGTCGTATTCCCCAGATGTCGCCCCTTCTGACTTCCACCTATTCCGTTCGATGGCACACGGCGTGGCAGATCAACATTTTCAATCCTTCGAAGAATTGGGAAAATGGATTGCTTCCTAGATAGTGTCAAAAGAGGACTCCTTTTTTCGAGCCGGGATCCGAAAATTGCCGGAAAGATGGGAGAAAGTTGTCGCTAGCAATAATATATCTGAAAGCACTTTTTCGCAATAAAGCTTTTAATTTTGGAAAAAACGGCGGAAGCAAAGTTTTACACCACATATTTTTTGGATTACTCTTTGTTAAAATGCTTGAATACTTATAAAAATTAAATAAATTTTAGAATCCAAATATCATTCAAATTGAATCCTAAATAGGGTTTTTTTTCGAATATATCGGTCTTTGGTCCACTTTTCAGAAAGAAAAGCTTTTCAAGTAAAGGATGACTTTTTAAGTGCTAAAGGAATTTTTTCCAAAAAAAAAAAATAACACATAAAATTCAAAAAATAAAAATGCATGAAATCTTTATTTGAATCGGTAGTACGGTCCATATAATTTAATGTTTGAAGATTATTACATGCAAATGTTGACCGAGACTGTGCCTCAAAGAGTCCATCCGTTTAGTCCAATTTTGGCATACTCTTTCCAACATTTTGGCCGGTATCTGACGAAGAAATACTTCAATGCTGTCCTCCAATCCATCAATTGACTTGCGGGCTTGTCTGTGTAGACATTAGGTTTAACATAGCCCTACAATAAGGAGTCTAAAGGCGTTAAATCGCACGATCTAGGCGGCCAATTGACCGGTCCCGAACGCGAAATAAAATGTTCTCCGATCTCGCCTCTCAATAAGTCCATTGTTACGCGAGCTGTGTGGCATAGGGCACAGTCTTATTGAAACTACATGTTATGCAAGTCAAGTTCTTGCATTTTGGGCGCTCACCATTCACAGTTACTTTACGATTCGCATCATCTTCGAAGAAGTTCGGTCCAATGATGTCACCAGCCCATAAACCGCACCAAACTGTGACTTTTTTTAAATGCATTGGTAGCTCTTGCTCAATGCTTCTGGCTCATCTTCACTCCAGCTAAAAAATCACATTCTATGACATAGGCAAAGAGTCGAGTTTCACGCAATTGCAGCCAAACCCCCCAAATTTTTTTAATTTACCCTGGTCCACTTCCCATAGAGAAAAGCTATTTAAATATTTTTTCTAGTCTACGAACTTCTATGTTTCAAATATCTATATTTCAAACATCAGACGAAAATAAATACGATTTTTTTGAATAACTCGATTTCAGCCACATTCCCCGAGAAAAGGGGTGTTCCCAATTGTGATTTAGGTAAAAAGTTGTCTACGAGAAGTACATAACATCATGTAAAAGGAATGATTTAAAAATAAATTTGATTTTCTCGCACAAATCGGTTCTGGATCCACTCCTGGATATACTTTTTTATGGGTTGCCCACGTTGTATACACCCTCCAAGCAGTGGATTGATGAAATTAAATGAAACTGTTTTTGTTGAAACCGCATAAAGTCAGCGTTAACGTTAATTTTAAAATGGCTGCTTACTATGCTATTAACAGCACAATTACATTTTAACGCTTAACATTATCTGCTAAAGACTTTAAGTTATCTGTTAACGATTAAAAATTCTCTTCTAACCTTTAACATTATCTGTTAGCCTTTAACATTATCTGTTACGCATTTAAAATTACCTGTTAACGATTTAACATTTTCTGTTAACCTCTAACATTATCTGTTAAGGACTTAAAATTATCTGACATTATCTGTTAACGAATTTGCATTAACGACGAAATTGCGCTTCGGCTAAAAACAAATAACTGATAACTGTATTAACGATAACATTTCCTTGCTTGCCTTGTTTTTATTATGTAACAGATTCATACGTATCGATTTAATCATAAATATTATTATTAATACTTTTCCCCTCCTTCTATAGAATTAAACAACATCAAAACACAACTGCAAACTCACGAAAAAAAGACGCAATATAAATAATTGAAAAAAAAAAACACAAAGAATATATAAAAACAAAAACACATTGCAAGTCGCAAAATGCATATGCAAAACCACCCAGTTGACCGTCAACGCCATTTCGTTGGCCTTTATTTGTTGTCGTTGTTGGTTTTCTTGCCGGCATTGCTCAATCGTCAAAATCACGTGGCTGCCGTCGTAACAGCAATCAACTCGGAAGCAACGGGTACAAACGAACAACAAACAACAGCACAACTCACGCAACAACAACAATTGCCGGCGCAAGCGGAACAGAAACCAAGCGAACAACAGCCGAGGCAACAACAACAAAACACAAATAACACAAAGCCAAATATAATAATCATTTTAATTGACGATATGGTGAGATATACGCTGAATTATTGTATTGTAGTTCACTCAAAGGTCTCTAAGTTGTTAGTTTTTCACCACATAAAGAGTGAGTTTTGAGTGTTGAACGAGTATGTGGAGTTTTCGAAGAACTGAGCATTTATTTAAAGCGTTTCAAAGTTGAACTGTTTTTTTTTTTTTTTTTTTTGAGTAAAAGTTGTTTTTTATTTAGACAAATTTTACAACATAATTTTTATCAGAAAACTTTTTAGTTTTTAATTTGTTTGTGTTTTGGTGAAAAATCTCCCTTGTAGATTCTGTATTGAAAAGTTTCAGAGCTGCTTTGCTGCCTCCCTTGCGGACTACATGACCTGGCCAACGTAGCCACTCCCTTTCGTTTTGCTGTATTACCTCCAATGTCATCGTTTAAACCAGTCAAACACACAAAGAACCATAACTCTTGCACAAATCTTTCTCTCCGAACCGACTCAACGGATATTGTCATAGTCCACCAATACACCAATATATGACTAACAAAAGGTTTCAAGACCCGAGCGTCTCATGTAGGAAACATTTCCTCATACATTTCCTCATTGTTTCCTACATGAGTACACTCGGGTCTTGAAACCTTTTGTTAGTTGTCGCATCTTTTCTTAGAATTTTCGAGCTATTTATCCTAATCAGCTAGTTTCACAAGCCCACATACTCGCGCATTTCGGAGTCTTTCTTCGTTTATCCGCAAAGGAGACTCGCGTTCCTCTGCAGCTCTCGGTTTTTATGAGACTTCATGTGTTTTGTAGTTAAACGTTGTCCGAAATCTATCTTCTTCTGATATTGTTGAAAGCCAATTTTTCTGCAGCGATGATACTCAGTGAGCTTGAAATACCGTTCTACAGTTCTTATAACGAGTTACTGATGAGTTCTCTCAGTAAGCAGGAGTGTCAGTCGAGTGGTCTGAGATGATGTTAAGTCTTCATTGAAGCGTGCACATATCTTGAACAAAAATGTAACTTCCATTTGACACAATATGTTCGATCTGGATGGGAGTTTTTCGGCTCTGAGACAGCCAAATAGTTTGAAGAAACTATCTCGTGATTGAATCAGCTACGACATACGACTACATTTCGTGCTCCATCCAAATCGATCAGCCGTAACCCATTTTGGTGTGCTTCGTTATAGAGGCAGTTTTGCCAGAGAAGCATTCTTTGCTCTCTCTGACGTTAAAGTCGCCTAGCATGATTTCGACATCATGGAAAGGACAGCGATCATAGATATGTTCTGTGCATATGTCAACACTCAACAGTGATGTCCCTCCCCAACCACTCAACCGACGCTTCTTTACATAGCCCTTTAGTACTTGTGCATTTCACAAGGACATCTTCGTTTCCACTGTAGTACATTTCATCACAAGGACACTCCAGGTGGATGCCCTTAAAGAGAGGCATATTTTTTGGTGCCTTAAGAACATGTTTCATTTTGCCTAGCATACCAGCACAATTCGCGAAAAATTAGGTTATCTTCTTCAATCATTCCACATTCAATCATATCAGTGAAATACCAGCTACACCTCATACACTTACTCACTTCTTTGCTTCCTTCATCAACCATTCTTCTTGCAGGGCTTCAACGATGTCAGCTTTCATGGCTCAAATCAGATATTAACACCGAATATTGATGCGCTCGCCTACAACGGCATCATACTGAATCGTCACTATGTGCCAAATTTATGTACACCCTCGCGTGCGACGCTACTCACGGGCAAATATCCAATACATACAGGTGAGTGAGGCATAGCAGCTACTGGCATATGGAACTGTGCTGAACATGTAGATATATATATACATATGTGTGCTATATGAATATGTATTATACTCTGAGTACCCAAGCGTGGTACGTTCATTCTTCAGTTTGTTTGTTGCTTGATTTGTAAAAAGGATTAATTGAAGTGAGGCTTAACTAAAGCGGTTCGAGGTATACGCTTAATTAAGAGCCAATAGATTGTATGTTAGTGTAGATTTTTTATTTATACATAAATACCTGCATGTATGCATAAGTAAAATGCACACATATATATATAAATATATATTTTTTTGTTCATACCTGCAAGTTTATTCGCAAACTCAAATTCTTTGTCTTTCTCTTTTCGCTCACTTCACACAAAAAATGTATGTTCGCTTGCGCCTTTTAGGTATGCAACACTCTGTCATCATTAACGACCAACCATGGGGCTTGCCATTGGGTGAGCGTTTACTGCCTGAAATACTACGCGATGCCGGTTATGCCACAAATTTAATTGGTAAATGGCATTTGGGTTTCTGGCGCAAGGAGTTGACGCCGACAATGCGCGGCTTCGATCATCATTTTGGTTACTATTCGGGCTATATTGATTACTACAATCACACCATGCATATGTTGGTAAGTTGAGGTTGTGGAGAGTTTAGTGTAAAAAAAAATAATATTTTCTTTTTGCATTTTAAGTTGTTTTTTTTTTAATTAATTATTTTTATTTTAATTTGATTTAATAAGTTTTACTTTATTTTGTTTTATAATTTTTTTTATTCGCTAAAATTTTATTTAATTAATAACTTTTGAATAAATTTTGTTATTTTTTATTTAATGAGATTTTTTTATTTCATTTAATACAGTTTTTTTTTTTCAAAAAATGTTATTTCATTTGTTTATGATAACTTCAATATTTTTTTATTTTATTTAATAAAATTTAATATCATTTTTTTTATTTTATAATTTTTTTTTATAATTTAGTTAATAAAGTTTTATTCAATTATTTATGTGTTTTTCATTATGGGCTTATAATTATAATGAATAAATTTTCTATTAATAAATTTATTCATCTTTTTATTAAGAGTTTAAATATTTCTTTATATTATTTAATTTTTTTTAAGGTTTTATAATTTGTTTTATTGTTTTATTAAAATTTTGCATAAGTTTTTATTAATACTTAAAAAAAATTTTTACATTTTTTTATTATATTTAATAAAATTTTATTTAGTGTTTTTTATAAAGATTTTATAATAAATTTTAAATATGAAGATTTTAAATTTTTTAGATTTATTTATTAAAATTATGCTTAATTTTTTATAAAAATTTTATTAACACTTAAAAAAATTTACGTTTTTTATTATATTTAATAAAATTTTATATAGTTTTTTTATTAAGATTTTATAATATTTTTTAAATTTATTAATTTACGTTTTAATAAATTTCATTTAATTTTCTGTTAATTTTTGATTTCCATTTTTTTATATTTCTTATTTTTTTAATTTTTATTACATTTGTTATTTTCTTTTTATATCTCTCCTCCTCTTTAGGATCGCAATTACTCAGCGGGTTTAGACTTTCGTCGCGACTTATCGCCATGGCCTGAAGCGGATGGTCTTTATGCCACCGACATTTTCACTCAGGAAGCGGAACGTGTTATCTATCAGCATGATGCGGCGGTAAAGCCTTTGTTTCTGCTAATGAGCCACTTGGCCGTACACACAGGTAACGAGAATAATCCAATGCAAGCGCCAGAGGAGGAGGTGGAGAAATTTTCGCATATCAGCGATGCGAAGAGACGCACGTATGCAGGTGAGTAGCTGAGGAGGCAGTGAAAGAAAAAAAAAACAAATAGCAATGATTACTACTCGGCTGGAGAGCAAAGTCAAAGAGTTAATGAGACTTAAATATGAAGATTTAATTGCAAAAATTATTGAATAAAATACCGAAGTTGAAGGTGTTTAAGATTAGGTTGGCTGGAATTAAACTCATGTTAAAGAAAAATATTCGCAAATGTATGAAAAAGAGCACTTCTGGTCAGGAGACAGGAAGTACAACGAGTACCACACTTAATAAGAAATGTACCTTCTCCCAACTCTTAAGCGATATACAGGGCCAAAATACAGCCATTTTGTTATCAAAAGACCTCCCCGAGAACGCATTGGATGATTTGAACCCCTACCGACTCAGCTGCAAAAAAGACACAGTTTTTGCCTTTGCTCTTATAGAAACTGAGAGCTGGTAGTGTACTACTACGATCTCCTGTAAACTATAGGTGTGTCTTGTTGTTGGAGAAATACACTTGAAGTGGTTGACATTCCAAGAGGAAGGGCGACATTTAAGGATTCGAATCAACGAACCTTCGACTGGTAGTAAGAGTCTCAAGTCGGAAAACACCAATGGTTAAGAGGTCCACCACAAGTCAAGCTGTGGCGATCTGGACGACTCCCTTGATGAATTGAATTCCTCCATGTTAAAGCATTTCTTGAGTGTAGAGAAATACGAAACCCTCAAGCTTTAAGGTTGGAACCTCTTCTGACAGCTAACTCTTTTACAAGTTTTTCTACAAGCCAAATTCTCAGTCGGATATCATACTTAAGTCACTTCCCAGTAGTCTTACCATCGCCCAGAATGTGCTACGGTCAAATTTTATAGCTTCCCTAGGCGCCCGGTTTCTCCATATCGTGGATAAGTTCTCTTCCACTTGACCTGTCTATCGGAAACGTGACCCTCTTCTTCATTGTACTCCATAAGCTCTCATTCGAGCACCTTTTTCGTTGAAGCAAAGTCCATATGTACAACATATCCGAGCCAGCGCAGGTCTCAGAGTGGAGCTGTTTAGTTCGTTTTTCATCCAATAAGAAGAGGCCTGAAGATTTGACGCAGAAAATTTCTCTCGAACACTTCAAACGCGACTGTATTCCATTGTTCTGTCCCATTTAAGAGCGCCAGACGCTAATTCCGTCTCATTTTTGTCGCCAAATGAAAAATAGGGTCACCTTTTCTGAAACCCCGAACGGTATTTAAAGGCTCGAAGAGGTTCGTTCCCACCTCGATTCTTAGATAGATAGCAAACCGCAGTGGAAAGAGGCCTCCATTGGTATTATCCAATGTATGTTTAAGTACCAGATCTTATTACATCGATTTCATTTCGGGTTTCTTCTGTAAAGCACCGAGCTTAGTGATGTTACTGCTAAACAACCCAAAACCACAGTTCCCGATTTAGAACGAATGTCACAAGCAACAAAGGTCAAGCCGAGAGTCTATTCAAAGCGCTCAACCCACCGGCACATCATTTACTATATTTGTAATTATTTTTCATTTTTTGTTGCTTTTTTAATTGCTCATCATTTAATGGATAATTACGCTGCCTCCACTCTTCAGGTATGGTCTCCCGCTTGGACGACAGTGTTGGGCGCGTTATGAGAGCACTCTCCAACAAAGGTATGCTCAACAATTCCATAGTGTTGCTGTACTCAGACAATGGAGCGCCCACTGTGGGCATACATTCGAATGCGGGCTCCAATTATCCCTTCCGTGGTGTAAGTATTACACATAGTACATACATATACATGAGCTGAAATATTATACGCACTAATTGAATGCAATTAAATCTCCACAATGTGACTCTCTCCCCCACACAATAGCAAAAGGAATCACCATGGGAGGGCGGCTTACGCTCAGCCGGTCTTATTTGGAGTCCACTGCTGCAGCAGCAGAGTTACGTCTCCAATCAAGTGGTGCATGCCATCGATTGGTTGCCTACCTTAGCAAGCGCTGCCGGCATAACACTGCCACCGAAATTGCAGCTGGACGGTGTTGATTTGTGGCGTGTGTTAAGTGAGAATGATACGCCACAGCCACGACGTCTGATACACGTGCTGGACGAAAGTGTCGGCTATAGTGCGTATACACGTGGTGTGCTCAAGTATGTGAACGGCACGAGCTTTAATGGTCTCTACGACGATTGGTTGGGTGAGCTGCCTGCGAGCGAAGAAGATCCCACAACGCAATATTACGTGCAGCAGGTACTCTCCTCTGAGGTGCATCACATCTTAGGCAATGAAGCGCTCAGCATAGAACAAGTGGAAAGTTTGCGTGCACAGGCAACACATCGCTGTCCTGATAATACGGAGGACTACACACAGGATGTGTATCGTTGTGAACCACTGCGGGAGCCATGTTTCTTCGACATCGAAAAAGATCCCTGCGAACGTTACAATCTGGCTAAACTCTACCCACTGCAGGTGCAGCTACTCGCGCAGGAGGTGGAGCAATTCAGACAGGGCGCTGTGGAGAGTGCACAGCGGTCGTTTAGTGATCCGCGTTGCGATCCGGCGCTGCATGGCGGCGTTTGGCAATGGTGGGATGAAACGTCGGCGGCCGATGGCCAGTGGGGCGTGCGCTTAAGTAGCGCTCTGTTGACGACGACGGCTTTTAATGTGGTTGCGATTGCATGGCGTGGCCTGCAAGTCGAGTTCTGATAAATTTAGAAGCCGTACTTCTAATTTTCGAAAATTTATATTGCATTTAATATTTTTTATCAATTTTTATTAATTAATACTTTTTTTATAAGAAAATTGTATTATAATCTTTAAGCTATTTAAAACTGGCCATTAGTGTTTACCAAACAATAAAATATAGATATTAAATTCCACGCAAGAGGTTCTTTATTTAAAAGAAGAGTCTTTCGAGAGATTAACTTTGAGGAATCTAGATACCTCGGTGATGATGGCTAACAGGCAGTACGCAACCTTTCGGAAGCCTAGGGTTTCGGAACATTAAAATTTTTAATTGGGGTCGCTGCTCGGCAGGGAATGTCAAGCCCTCCGAGTGCGTTTCGGACATATAAATCAAAGCCCCGGATCAAAAATGCATCAGCCATTAGGAAGCGGCCATTTGAACAAAAAATCAAAGCACATACCAGAATTTGGAGTACGGGCTCGGCCGTAAATTGCTTCAGCGGTTACAAAGCGCCATTTAGGTATATATACAAATGCTTAACTCTATTCTACGAGGTGGGCAGTAAATACGAAATTGGTTCAAAATGTGGGTTTCATGATTCAGATTCCCAAAAACACCATTCATTCTATCTTTTTGCTATTTTGAGCTCATTGGAGACAAAACGTGAACCCAGTTTACGCTCCACTACGAATTTCCAACGGTGGGAGATATCCTTAATCACTAGGAGTGCTGCATGGAAAGTTTTTGAAGTATGCTCCTCTTCTAATGGACGAAATGACCTTGCTAGCTTAGCCACTGCCACTTAGCTCGTCACACCATACCGATGCGGCCGTATATCTCATACAGCTCGTAGTTCTTTTGGTTATAGTATTTGTCGTCGCTACTGAGAAAAACGCGTTAAATTGTTGGCAAAATCTTCCTCTCGATCACTGGTATTATCGGTTCGATCGCTGACCATAGCTTCCGCACCATATAAGGGAACGAAAGTCGTGAGCGTCTTCTAATGTTTGGTCTGCCCTCGCCGGAGAGGACGTTACTATTCACTTGTCTATTCAGTCCAAAGTAACGCCTACTTGCAAGAGTGATTAATTGGATTTTAAAGCTGATATATTCTTCGTGACTTTCGTCCGTGACGGACGATATAACTCTCGACAGTGAAGTGGGACCCAAGACATGAGTGCGTCGTTAGTTTTTTGATCACAGGAGACAATCCGTCTCCTCAGCTTTGGTCACTCATGCGGTCAGTAGAAATCAGGTCAATGTCAAATTTAAAAGCTTTAATAGAAGAGGCATCTTCCTTGTTTTGCTCTGTAACCGTAGGTTCTTCTCCAAGCACGAGAGCTCGTCCAATAAAGGGTGGCTTGAAGAGGTCCTTCTTGATTTTAACAGTAAGTTTACGTAGCCGTAAAAGTTTTGCGGGGATACCAATTCTATTCAGACATTCTTAGATGCAGCTCATCTTAGGACTATCAAAGACCGCTCTAAAATCGATGAAGAGATGTGGTTTGTCAATACTTTCCTCACGGGTATTTTCTACGCCCTGGAATATCTAGGATGAATATCTGCTCAATTTCAGTTTTGCCGAATGTGAAGCCACACTGATTAGGTCAGATCAGTGCGTTGACAGTGGGATTTATTACTCTTTCACACAGTAGGTATGAGAAGATTTATCAAGCTACTTGCCTGTAAACGGATCGAATCACACCAAAACAATTCATACGTGTTAGGATAGAATGAATAGTACTACTTACGTAGCGCCGCAAAAGAAGCAAATTTGTTTTCGACAACTTCGAAAGAAGAGTATACATACATCCGTACCACGGTGAAGGTAGGAGCCCGAAATGGGCGAGTGTGAAAAGCTTCAAACCTCCCCGGCAGGGGAATGATTCAAAACCAGAGTACGATCACGTAGGGAAGAGAAAAATGATCAGGTGATCGATGTATAGGGCAAGCAAAGTTCTTGGGGGGAGTACTTCTCCAGCCTGCTTCATTGAAGTGATCCAGAAAGCGGAAACTAACGCCCAATTGATCCCTTACAGTATAAATAATTAAAAACACCGTAATTAGATTACACAATTTTTTACTATTTTCCATTTAAAAAAGACCTGATGGCCTCCGAAATTAGAAACACAATGAGACTATTGCATTTTTTAAATCACAAAAACCACAAATGAATAAAAGAAATATTTAAAAATAAAAATTTTTGAACACAAAAACTAATTAAACACCATTTAATTCGCACAGCAAATCTGCTAGTGTTTTCTGATCTTCCACCTTACACACGCCCATACGCGCAAAATCCTCCGAACGTATATTCAAAAATTGCTCCAAATCCATATTTTGCTCTTCGAAGACATCAATATATTCATCGAGGCCCGCACTGCGCAGCAAAGTCGAAATGTTCATCGTGCGATCGAGTAGATTTGTATTGCTCTCATTTCTCGATGCATTACTATTGTTGTTGATGGTGTTATTATTATTGTTATTGTTGTCTATGTTACTGTTGCTGTTGTTGTTAAGACTATTCGTGAAGGTAGCGTTGCTGCGGCTGCATTTCGAAGAAAGCGAATTATTTGGACTGTCACTGTTGCCATTGTTATTGTTGTAGTCGGTGTTGTTGTTGTTGCTATTGTTATTATTATTTTTACAAACAATACCAAGTATAGCCGAGCTATCGGGACTCGTCGAATCTAAGCTGAAATCTGTATCCGAATTGGTTGTCGAATTCAACGTGAAGACCGGCGGCGAATCGCTAACAAAATGGCAAGAGAACTTCGACAGCGTTTGTTGTTGCTGTTGCTGCTGCTGCGAGAACTGCTGCTGCTGCTGCTGTGATGGCAGTTGTGCCTGCTGCATTTGTTTTTGTTGTGCATTTTTAGTCTTCACAAAAGGCACCTTAAAATACTCCTCCCTGCCCGCCACCATCGATTTCTGTAAATTCTCCATATTTGTTGGGACACCAACAGCCATACCGATCTCGTTGATCGGCGAGAGTCCAGGCGATTGGAAATTCTTCATTGTCGGCGTAAAGCAACGCATATTCATGCGATTTACAAATAAATTTTGTGCATCCTGTAGGCGGCTCGGATCGAAGACCATAGTGGGTGTGAGCTCGTACTTGAATTCCATCATTTGCGCTAGTGTAGGCGTTTGGCATTCTTCCATTGTGTTGGTGGGTAAATATATTTTGTACGAATAAAAATTCTTATTAATTAATTTAACATAAAATGTTTAAACATTGAAACACAAAAATCATTACTAAATTAAGTTTGTAGTGCCGTTATGGTAGTTAGAAAAAATATCGGCAAACTATGGTAGCCGTTAGGCGCTCGCATAATCTGTCATTACTGCTGTCATTTGCTGAGTTGCGCTTTCAGTGCAGGGTTGTATTTAGTTTTAAAATTTTTTTTATTATAGTTAAGCACTTTTTTCTAAAAAAAAATATATATTTCTTTTGAATGAGAAATTTTTTCAAAGAAAGAGGGAAATATTAATTTATTTAAGCAGAAATTTTTTCATTCTTTTATTTCTAAATGCGAATTTTGATGTGATAATTACGCTTACTAGCTCCTGAACGGGTGAACGATGAATTATAACCCGAGAGAACATTTAGTGACAATCACCAATTTTCAAAGACAGCACACCGTATAGCCTCATAGCCCAAGTGTTTGCACTTTAGTCTCGACAGTCGAGGAAGACTGCGTTTTTAACCTCATTGCACATTTACCAAACTCACATTGACTAGTCAAAGCTCTTACCGAGAGCGATAGGTGTGACTTAGTTAGTGTGGACTCTCTTAGAGAGGTTTTAAATCTCTAAGCTACAGTGGTCACTAGCAATACCCGTTTCAGCCAGGAAGCCAGCGAACAAGTAAGTGTCTTATTGGACGATATCTCTCCTTTCCTTAGTATCACAGAAAACCTTGTTGCTCCCGTCATTTAAACACCATCTGATCCAGCAGCGCCCCAGCAAGACTTCCGTAAAGTTATTTTAATATATATTTTTTTTGCGGCGGAGGAGAAGAAAAATGGCTGCTGCCTCGACCTCTTGTTGTCACATCAATGGTATATGCCACTTTTAGGTCAGTAGAAAGAACTCTCCTTTAAGCAACCATCACCATAAACACCCAGATAATTCATGAACTCAACCAAAACCAGCTCTGCGTCCGTACTGTCCTGAGAACTGGAGTTATCAAAAGATTATGACACCGCCAGGCATTCACTGCTTTTATCGAACATTGTGTTGGAAGGCTTGGACTACGAACTACCTGAGTAGTCGACGCTTATCAAAGTTTCCGCAGGGACGCTCCTGATTGATCTTCACATTTCGAAGCTCTCTCCTATAGCAGAGGGTGTTTGGCTGCTGGATATTGGTGTCGGCCTAGATTTTGGACAATTTCTGCTCGAAAGTAAATTACAATACTATCCCGTCGACCTTTTCCACTTCTTCACTGTATTACATTTCCACTGCTACCTCCAAAATTATTGGCTATCCTTTCCATTAGCTGGACCAAGGAGTACCGCCTCGATCTCAATATGAAAGTCGATTCTGTAAAAAATACCGACATTAAATAATCCAATGTTAGTGGAAGTTAGATTCGACAGCCTGTACTTCTCCACTCCATTTGCGACTGCAATTGTCAAAAAAATTCAGAGCTGGCACAAAATTGACGCGACCCTAAGCACCTTATTATGCACCGCATAAAACCAACTATTCTTAACCTTTTTCTTCTTCCGTCGAAGGCGATCATTTCCACAAAAACAACTGCAACAGCAAATCAGTTAAGGCTAGAAGGCCCTTCGATCTTCCGCTATTTACCTAAGGAACAGAAAACTAAAAGTGGGGAAAGGCATTTTCAATCTATCTTCTTCTATTAATATCGGCTCTAGAAAATCCATCTGTTTCGCTCTGACCCGGCACCGGCTTGCCGCCAGGCTCTAGGGGAACAGGCCAGATATTCTTTAATTAGCCTTGAGTACACCATAAGTGACTAGGAAGCTTGAATCGGAAGCCATTACCAAACTCTCCCACCGACATGACTAGACTACGAACCCAATCATATTGCAATTGGAATGAAGATGGCGTACCCAGCCCAGGGTTCGAGTTCTGGTCCGGATTCGAGTTCTAATCCGAGTTTGAGTTCTGGTCGGATCAAAATGCATAATTATTGAAATAAGTACATTTTTCTAGTTGCGGTCACCTCTCGGCAGTGAATGGCAAGCCCTCCGAATGTATGTCTGACGTGAAGAAAAAGCTTCTCCTGAAAAAAGCCATTCGTCGTTGAGAGGCGGAGAAACATCAAAACGTCACAGCGCAAATAACAAGAGAAGCTCAACCGTAAATCATTTTACTATTATTAATTAAAGATTAACTTGACAGCTACAGTAGATTAATGGTTAGTAGTGCGTGCTAACTTGTGAACGGTCATGCGATCGCAAAAAAAAACAAAGTTATAGCAAAAATTTCTAATTACGTTCGCCTCTCCGCAGAAAATGTCAGCCCTCCGAGTGGGTTATTGATATGAAATGAAAAAAAAAACTCGTCACAAAAAACCTTTCGACTTTCACTGGCGGCCCCTGTTTCTTGGCAAAACATTATACGCATACCCTAAATTGGAGTAGCAACTCGGCCGACAATTTTTTTATATAAACTCGAGGTTTATAATTGGCGCTTTGAAACCGCAGAAGCGATTTTCGGCCGAGCTCCACCTCCAATTTGTGGTTTTGCGTCTTAATGTTCCAAAATATTGAAGGACCTACAGTTTATACTAAGCCGCATCCGAACGTCCAAAATACATTTAAAATTAAATTAACATTCGGAAATTCTTTTCCAAATGAGTTAATGGCTGCAATACAAAATAAAAAATAAAAATAATACATATTTATACCAATTAACATATATAATATTATTTATTTTCACTTACAAATTCGTAAATAATACTTTTCTTGATACAGTTGCGTTTAGATTTCGCACAATTTCGTAGACAAAATTAAACAATTAAGCACAATTTGTTAATGTAATTACTTAAAATTAAATATATTTTACAATAAAAATGGACGACTGAGTGATAAATGGGACGACAAAGAAATATTGCTTACTTATACGAAACATAATATAGAATTTATTTTACTAAGAGCGCTTTGTATATGTAAGGCGTATTATTTGCGTTAAAATGTGATTTTCATGCCATATTTTTGTACATTTTTAATAGTTAATTTTATTTAGACCTATTCTAAACACCATCACAAAACTAATGACTACACTGCATGCTACGTACAGATTTTGTGTTTTTCTTCACGCTCAATGAATTTTTTGAGGCATGATTTTAGGCGCAGCATTTCTGAGTGTAGTGAGGTTAACAACTTTCTCAAGCAGTTTGGGTTTAATGTGTTTATGTGGCTATATATATATTTGTATGTAATTAAATCGCTGTATGTATGTAAGTGTAATATTTAAATATGTATGTGCGCTTTGGTGTATGTGTGTGTGTGTTTATGTAAAAGTGTATGTGTAAGCGCTTTCAAATTACTAATCAGTTACAGCTGATTATTATTAATAACATTTTATTATTTATTATACTATTTATAAACTATGCTTGTTCTTCTCCATACCGCCACAGCAACTTCTCCATAACCATAACTATTCAATCATATTGAATAACAGACATGAGAAGATCATGCCAAATATCTGTAAATTTTGAAAGAAAAAGAAAATAAATTTAAAAAAAATTATATTTTCATTTACAGAAATTTCATGATGTCATACCATTAATATGGCCACCGCTATGGAAGTGCCACCAATTAACGCCGCATGATCACGTATAAAATTGGTCGTTACATACAAACAACCCTGACTGTAGAGATTGGTTATTGTTGGAAAAATGCTGCAGTCCTTGCGCTGTCCACCGAACAACTCTTGACAACACGATTCCGGTATGGGGCCATAACGATTCCAGTCATGCCAAGTGTCTACGCCACAGCACTGTAAACGTTCCTGCGTTTGATCCCAAGCCAAGGTGACATCACGTCGGCTGCCATAGAGTTGCATTGTGGCGCGCATTTCCTATGAGGCGCAGTTAAAAAAAAAGAGAATTTGATTTATTTTAATATATATTTTTTTTCTGAACATTTACTCAGCTTACCTGTCGCATTGTCTGCTGTACACGTTCCCTGAAGACATAACCCAGTATGCCACCGATTAGCATTGTTACAAAGACCAACGCCACAATGATGAAGTACTGAAAATATTTAGAAAATATTATGAAAAATACCTTAAACCGACTCCAAAGAGACAAGTCTGAAATGAAACTGGAACCGAAGCCTCCCGAAAGTAATGCCTACACTCGACTTTGTCTCAATCAAATAAATATAAATAGTTAAACGTTTTCTCAACCGCAGGCGAGAGCTGGAAAAACACCTCATTGAGAGCATGCTTTCTGCGAGTTTAGCCTCAGCTACGATTTCCCTTTCACTTCTAAGACTTGAAAATTCTCAAATATGCTGCTGACGTGTTCACAAAGATTAGGAGCCTTTAAGACAAGAACAAGGTTTGCAAATATTTATAATTTCGACTCATCTCACGCCGCGGCCAATATTCATCAGTAGATATAATCGCCCAGCAGGATCGGTTTCTCATCACAATTTATCCTTGTCGATAATATGCATCCTCAGAGAGGCCATACAGTGCGCACCAGACACGACTTTACTACTGTGAAGCAGCAGAGTATCGACGAAGAACCGAATGAGTCCATAAGTCCATTCGCCATCACGCACTCCAGTCTGTACCCAATAACTTTATGGACGATTTTTCGGTATAATCTTAGTTTCCAGAACAAAATCCAGCTCGTGCTGGATCTGAAGCCAAGCGACCAGAGGGAATATCTTCAAAAATAAAACAGGTCATAAAGCTGCATTCAATGGGGAAAGCCATAGAGTCATGGGTAATGACTTATTCGTGCCTGAATTGCTTCCAACAAGACGGGGCTTTATGCCAACGAAACAATCAATTTATTGAAGCAAATATTCGATTAGCGCATTATATCTAGTCGTGTGCTTGTGGCGAGGTATCGAAGATTGTGCGGTTCAACACTGCTGGGTTATTTGTTTATGGGGTTGGGGATGAGCCCGAGTCGATTTACGTCTTGGAAGAAAATTTTGGTTGCTTTACTGCTGACTTACGACCCCGATTACTACAAAAAGTTATCGACAAAGTGCCTTCAACCCGCTAAATCAAATAATATTGTTCCGAGATATTATAAAATGGTCCTCGTCATAATTCTCTTTTGTACGAAAATATTTTTCCAGCTGAGCTGTAATTCGTTCAGTATTCACCATTCTGACGGAGTTCCATTGGTTGGGTAAGTCAACCGCAAATGACAAAATGTTCAACTACTACGGATCGGTTGATGGCAAAACGTGCGAAGGAGGCAACACATAAGCTCTTCAAACCAGCACTAAGAGTTCCATCTTTCCTCTCAAAGATAAAGGACAAATTAAGAAATACGTAACTCTACTTAATTTAACTCTGGCCGTCCCGTCAGTAGTATTACAAAAGCTGTATTGGACGTCAATTAAGATCACCCCACCGAAAACTGGTCTACGCGTCCCCAAATTATTGCTTCAAACAGTAACTTTCTCTATCCTCCCAAATATATTTCTCTCAACTCACCGTCAACAGCAGACATTTGACTTCTTTGCCCGCGCCAACACAACCCAAAAACGAGAGTAAACAAATAGCAACCGATGTCACCAACAACACATAAACAGCGCCCGAAAATAGATTCGTGCCCAATAGCTCGTTCATAAAACTACGATCGACCAAGGTCCATAAGGTAAGTGTAAATACAGTTGCGCCGCCAATCTAAATGTGAGTAAAGAGAGAGAGAGAGAAAGATAAAATAATAATTAAAAGTAAAAAAATAAAAAATGTGTTCTATTGGCAGTACAAATTATTTGGGTCCGTTCTGAAAATATGCAAGCTGTTGCCGAGCTTGAAAGCGATTACCTATTTCCTGGCAAAGGTTTCACATTCTACAACAATACTTAGCGCGAATCTGCGATTTATTCTGAAGAAAACAAACAAACATTTTGGCCTCTTCGACAATACTCAGATTTGTGTTAAAAAATAGCATTTGTGGAAAGTTTTGATTTCGAAAAGTGAAGCTCAAGCCCGTCGAATGCTTGTGGAAGTTTACGATGCGCCGACCGATAAGTCATCCAGAGAGTGGTTTCGACACTTCAAAGGTGGTAATTTTAGTGGCGAAGGCAAAATGCGTTCTGGTCAGCCCAACAAGTTTGAAGATAAAGAAATGGAGTCATTACTGTTTAATACTGGTTTAAGGCATTTGGATTTATTTAAAAACAAGGAAATTGAATGCCGTACGAGTTGAAGCCGAGAGATATATGTATATCAAAAGTCAATTTTTCACCTTGTAACTTTTACCTAAAATACATCAAAGGAAGAGATTTCTGCAAATGGAGATATACCACGATAACTCCAGTATAAAAAATATGCCTAGCCTGGTTTGTCCGTTCCATCATCGCCTACATCACAGCCAAAGAAACACATCCCCAGTTCTGTATATGCTGCTGCCTGTCGGGTGCAGTGTACCATGAGCTACCAAAAAATTACCATAAATAACCGAAAGGTCAGTGATTTTGTAACTGAACAACGCTCGGTTTCACGTTAATGTAGCGATCGAAAACCACCTGGACATACTGAAATGGCAGATCTTATCCTACACGCCGCATTGTTTGGACCTTGTTCCTTCGAACTTTGGGCTGTTTCAAAGGTTTCATAGCGATATGGTGGGTTACAAGTTCGGGTCTTTTGAAGAATGTCTCATTGCACAGAGCACAAAGAGCACTAATTTTTTAACGGTAATACACGAAAATTACTGGAGATATGTGAAAAAGTAGTCGCTTCGAACGGACCCTACCAAAAATGCTGTATTTTTTACATTTTTTCCAATACAAATCACTTTTTTTAATACCAAAAAAAAAAGTACCGAAATAATTTGCACTCAAAATAAAAATAAAAAAAAAAAATTTAGTGTAATAATAAACACAGTTAATAAATTTAATAAATAATAATAGTTTATCTTTAATTTTAATTACTGCCGTGGGGCAGCCGGAAGCTGAAATTTTAAACATTTCAAATAAATAAATCAAAATAAAAGTTAAATACTTTCAACAAAACAATTAAATACGTTAAATACACAATTTTATTATATTTACATATATATATATATATATCTATATAAATGTATGTATACTCACAAATATTATTAAATTCGATATGAAAAGACTGTATTTAACGAATTGCCCGCAGCAATCCATGCGCGAACTGAAACCCATGTCGTCGTCCTGCAAATAAAAATAGAAAAAAAAATATAATAAAATCAGAAATAGAATAAAAGTGCTTAATTTCATTAAATGTTTGTTTAGCAAATTAATCAATAATCAATTGTCGCGACGCGTAACTAATCGTGCGTGTTAAAAACCCAATGCCAAATACAATTATTTGAGTGATTTGTGCGGCGAGAGCGAGAAGCAACGGTTTTGCGCTTACTTAAGTGCCATTTGTGCCGTGTGTGCTGTGTCTCGTACTTTAAGAACTGCCTGTCTGACTGCCAGATGTTGAACGACAACAAATTTATTTTTAATTTAATTTATTTTTAGTTTTATTTCGCTTTTTCCCCTTCAACATTTAAGCTGTCATTTTGGTCACGCTGGATTAAATGATAAATTAATTCACTGTGCTCTTGCGCAGGTAACGAAGAAAGAGTGTAAAGAGAGGCAGAGAGAAAGAGAGAGAGAGCATGTGCAAAATGTTTACAAAATTTATTTTTCGCAATTTTTTTATTTTTTCCCCCCTTCATTTGCCACACTCAACACTCAACTCGTATTTTATTGTCTAAATATAATAAATTAACAAATATCCGTCAATATTGGAAACTACACTTGTCAATCAGCGTTTATGAATTGCTTCGCGTTTTTTTGTAAACGGATTTCGGAAACTGACAGCAAATACTTCAGACATACTCGTATAAAGTAATGCTTTGAGCGACAAGTGATACCCGAGCATGTTTCCGGACATAAGCGAACGCGATCACCTCTCTATAGAAATCTGCATAATGCGAGTATTGAATATTGAATTGTACTTATTAAGAATTCAATACACATAAGCTGGGTAATACCCGCCACGGCAGTGATGTGATACCCACTCAAGCCACAGCTTGGTAATAAAGCAGAGTTCAATGGCTGCGCAGACGCCGTTGGATATTTTCTTTATATGACCATAGTAGCAGCGTGGAGTGTGTGCGCAGACGCTGTTAAGAATCGCTTCTGAGTCATTTTAATAAAATTTGTATACGCTCAAGTAGCAGTAATATATTCTTAAGTTGTTAAGTCGACATAAAGTGTGTGGAGTGGTGCCATATTTAGGCAAATGCTATTCAATGAATTGGCTCAAATTTATTTTTAGTTGAAATGAAAGTATTTTTATTCGTTTATTTATAAATTTTAGAATGCCTTATGGAATTTTATATTTACGAAATCATTCATGTAAACAAGCATATCTGGTTTAGAGCACTCTACTGGCGCGCTTACTCTCACACCTGATTGGAGGAGGCCAGCCTAGATGTAAATCTGATTATCCGAGGCAGTAGAGCTTACGTGAGAAGGACAATAGTGTGCCAGTCGCAGCCGCCTTAGCTTTCACTTTACTGTGAAGCCACATATGCTATAGCGAGGCAGACTTTTACAGAGAAAATTAAGACAAACTACATTTTCTGATTTTAATTCCATTATATGGTCTTTAATTTACATCAAAAGCTACCACGCAGCTTACGAACTAAAATAATGGAAGATGAGAGATTGGATTTATGCAGCCCTCTATTGAAATGACCACTTCACTAATATTGTGTCTAAAAACACATATTAAGGGATTCTAAGTATTGAATAAACGTATATATAATTGTTTTTTTATAAGCGCTGAAGCGATTTTTGGCTGAGGAAAGTTGTATAGTATATTTTGATGTTTTTCGAACAACGAACAGTATATTCTAAGCCGTCTTCGGATGCTCGATGGGTTTTTGTGAGGAGCGTTGTTTCTTTTATGTCAGAAATATACTCTGGAAGGGTTTTAATTTATCTTATTTTTTTCCAATTTCATTTATTTAATTTTGTTTTATTTTAATTAATTTTATTTAATTTTCTTATTTTGTTTAATTTTATTTTATTTTAATTAATTTTTTTTTATTTTAATTAATTTTTTTTATTTAATTTTATTTTAGTTTATTTAATTTTATTTAACTTCATTTTGCTTAATTTAATATATTTTATTTTTTTATTTTATTTTGTTTTATTTTATTTTATTTTATTTTATTTTATTTTATTTTATTTTATTTTATTTTATTTTATTTCATTTTATTCTATGTGTCTTATATTATTTTTTTTTTATTTTTTTTTAATAATTTTTTATTTATTTTAATTCATTTAATTTATATCATTTTATTTTATCTTAATTCATTTCTTTATTTTAAATTATTTAGGTTCTATTTTATATTTTTTGTTCAATTATATTTTGGTTTATATTTATTAATTTTTTCCAAAATAAATCTTATGATTCATTCAAAAATTATATTTGTTTATACATATCTACTCTGAAGCATTTAATTAGCAATAATTTTTAAGTTATATAAGCAGATGATTTTGTCGAAAAAACAATTCGATCAGCAAAAACGTGCGTATAAGTATAACAACAACAAAAAATAAATAGCCAAAAAATGGCAAAACTTCAAGAATTCCAAACAACAGCGTCAACAAGCAAACACAGCATCTAACAGTAACCACAACATAACATAAAATAACATAGCAGAAAGAACATAAATAACACAAATTTCGAAAGGTAAATTGGCGTTAATAATGAGAACTCAGCATGTGTGGAAGCACGTATAGCCTAGTGATTGGCAAAAATCGCTGCGGACGAAAATTTTTAACGAACAGTAATGTGATAATTGGCGGCTTGAAATACGTTTTTGCCACTTCTGAATCGTGGAGTAGAATAGCTTTGTTTCTTTTCCATATACAGTAGCGTGGAAAATTAAAATACCTGGTCAGCTATTTCCCACAGAGTACTTTAGAGTATTCCTTGAAAAAAAAAACTCTGCTGAGAGAAGCGTATAAAAGTGAGAATTGAGCTTCATAGCGCTCTTAGTTAGCAGGACCATGATGTGTAGCCCTAAATATGGAGTGCAAGTTTAGCACCTAGATGGGGCTCAGTAAATCTATAATTTGCGTAATTAGCCTAACTTTCCTATAGTAAAGAAATAAGAGCCCAAGGTGATGTCATATATTGTTCCATTCAAATAAAATACCATCAGACGTAGTCTAAATGTAGAAAATCAGCTAATGAGATAACTAATGCTGCTTAATGAAATGCGCAACAGTTATCTTCCTGACTAAGGCAGGCAGAGGAGCGATGAATGAACTGTAACCATCAAATGCTCTAGACTTCTTAAAACCTTTGCATGTCTCCTGAAGCATTGGAACACTAAATAATCGGTAGTATTTACAGCATATGATGTAGAGTATTGTAGAACTGTCTGGAAATACCTGAACTTCTGAAGAACTACGTATTCAAGTGCCCGAGTGTGGGTGTGATGATTAGAGTATTTTCTTTAACTATTGAAGATCTGAATAAGAAAATAAGAGAAATTCAGTGTTCCTGATCCATAATCAATCAATTCAACGAAAAACATATACCAAGAAGGGTCAATGGAAATGCTGAGGTAACCTTAACTCATTCTTTTATATACGGAAACAAAGGTCTAACAAGGTTTTCCGCCTGACTTTAGTTCGGTCGTCATTAAGCTGACATTAGTCCTCTCTTCATCCGAGTAGACCACAAGCTACTAGTGGTGTCTTTACATACTCTCGATGGGTTGATATTTAATCGAATGAGTATATTCTCTCGAGCTTAGTAGCCTTACGATCACTGATTTCAACACACTCGAAGAGAAGTCCAAAAATGCACCACTGATTTCAGCATAATCGAGCACACATGCATTGACCTGAACTGAAAAAATAGTGCTTCGGTTACGAAATGGGAGTCTGTAATCAATGGTGAATACCCACCAGAAAGTTCCTCATTGTCAAACTAATTTCATTCGTGTATACAAATTATATTTATTTTGAAAAATTCTTAATATATTCACCTCACTGTAGGTAAATTCAACACAAATTGTAAGTTAGCGTCAACCAACTATTAAAGCAATTCTTTTGCTTTTCTTACAGTATTTTTTTATTAAAAAAAAAATATGATTTTTTAGTTAATAAATAAAAGTTTATTTATATGTTATTTGATAAAAAATATTTACTTTTTTTATTATTATTTTTTTATTTTAACAAAAAAATATTCTTATTTTAATTAACAAAAAAAAATTCTTTTACTTAATACAGATAAAAATCAAAGTTTTTTTTTCATTAAAATAAATAATTTATTTTTAATTTAATAAAAACCTATTTCTTTTACTCATTAAATATAAAATTAAAATTATTATGTTTTATTAAAAGAAAATATTAATTTTTCAAGTAATAAAAAAATACATACACATTTCATTTATATTATATATATTAAACAACTATTTATTTTTTAATTATTTATATTTTATTTAATAAAAAATATTTATTTTTTATTTATTTATATTTTATTAAATAAAAAATATTTATTTTTTATTTATTTATATTTTATTTAATAAAAAAATATGAATTTTTTTTTTATTTACATTTTATTTAATAAAAAAAGTATTTAATTTTATTTATTATTATAATTTTATTTCAAACAAAATATTTACTTTTTATTTAATATAAAAACTACTTTTTTACCTAAGACAGATAGAATTAAGGGCTTTTTCATCAAAATAAATTATTTCTTTTTAATTAATGAAAAATTTATTGTTTTTAGTTATTTATTTTAATGATATTATTATTTTTTTCTTAATAACAATAAAATTAAATGTATTATTCTTTATTGCGGGAAAATATATTTTTTTATTTAATAGTTTTTTTTTAATTAAAAGACATTATTTATATTTTATTTAAATAAAAATAAAATTTTAACAATTTTTTATTATAATTTTTTTTTTTATTAAAAGATGTTATTTATTTCTTATGTAATAAAAAAAATTATCTACTTTTAATTAATGAAACTGAAACTTAACTTCTTTTTTTACAAAAGAAAGTACTTATTTCTGTTTCAATAAAAAATTATAACTTATGCTTATAAAAACAAAATTTAATCAAATTAATCTTTCTATAAAAAATAAGCAATTACCACGTGAATATTTTGAGTTGTAAAATTA